TGCAGTCGATGTACCGGTCCATTGTGGTAAAGAGAGAGCTGAGCCGGAAGGCAAAACTCTTGATTTACCGGTCAATCTACTATACTAGTCTCACCTATGGTCATGAGCTTTGGGTCATGCCTGAAAGGACAAGATCTCGGTTGCAAGCAGCCAAAATGAGTTTACTTTGCAGGGTGACAGGGATACCCTTATAGATACAGTAGGGTGAGGAGCTCTTTCACACAGGAGGCACTTTGGAGTAGAGCAGCTGCTCCTACACATCAAGAGAAGTCAGCTGAGGTGGCTCGGGCATTTGTTTTGGATGCCTCCTGGACGCCTACCTAGGGAGGTGTTCCAGGCATGTCCCACCAGGAGGAAACCTTGGGGAAGACCCAGAGGACTATGTCTCTCGGCTGGCCTGGGAACGCCTCTGGATCCCCTAGGAGGAGCTGGAGAAAGTGTCTGGGGAAAGGGAAGTCTGGGGTTCTCTCCTAAGACTGCTGCCCCCGTAACCCAGCCCCGGAAAAGCGGATTAAAATGAATGAATGAATGAATGAATGAATCAATGAATCAATTATTGAATGAATGAATGAATGAATGAATCAATGAATCAATTAATGAATGAGTGAATTAATCGATTTTTTGTGTGTGAATGAAAAGGCCATAATGCCAAGCCCTAACTGGTTCTGGTTCCTTAAAACTTGAATGAAACAGATATTTGACATTTATTGTGACAATTATTAATAGCAACAGATAATGACATTGTTGTTGTCATAACTTTTTGGCTCAGGCCTTTTTATTAAACAATAAAGCTTAAAAATGTTCAAAAAAGAACAATAAAAAAGTCAACTGCATCGTCACATGAATGCAAATAAACTTAAACAAGCAAGAAGAAGATCTGATGTAAGGAGAAGCACTTTAAAAGCCTGTTTGGAACAGTAAAGGGCACAATACAAGAAAAATAAGACTAGAATGCATGAGCAGGGTCACAGTTGAGTTGGTTTAGATGTGTCTGGTCTGTGCTGCATTTTTATTCCCAGTTGAACGACACCAGAATTCATTTATAGGTAAAAACCATCTTTTCAGCAGTCTCGCTCCACTTGTTGGCTTGCACATGGCAGCATTCAACCTTATTGAGTTGAGGCATACTAAACCAAGCCTATCACACCAGAGTTCATATAAATCAAACAGCCTAAATTAAATCTGTTCACCTTATAAAGGGATCACGTCTCACTCGTATTAAACCACTACCTCCATATTGATTTGTATTTTATTTATCTCTTCATGAACATCTAAACGAACAGACGTTCAGCAGAAGGCCAGAAATCTCTCAGATTTAATTAAAATCTTTATTTGTGTTCCAAAGATGACTGAAAGCCTTACAGATGGGCACGAGGACGAATAAACGATGACTGAATATTAATTTCGAGGTGAACCAACTCTTTAATAAAGCAGTAGGACCTTTAATGCTTCAATCTGAAGATTAAATCGGCATGGCCTAAAACACATTATCCGACAGATTGCGGTACTTTGTTTTCAGTTCAGTTGCAGTTAGTGTCAAGAGGATATCATATTGTGTGTGTGTGTGTGTGTGTGTGTGTGCCCCCACAGGGAAAAAAACAGTACAGGTGACATTTCGCACAATCAAGAAACAATTTATATGTGGATAGACCCCAGAGGGCTTCCTCCCAGCTGCTGATGATTGGAAAGTCTGAAATTAAAATGACGGAGCATTTCAAGAGTGGTGTGTCCACAGAAAGGAAAGTGGACACAATGTGTTTGCTTACTTTAAATTTGCACTTAGGTTATTGGCGTGACGTTGAATTTTCACTGTCACATATTACCGAAATGAATATAATTAGTTTTGTCATTCATTCATTTTTTCAGCTTAGTCTCTTTATTAATCAGGGGTCGCCACAGCGGAATGAACCGCTAACTTATCCAGCATAAGTTTTACACAGTGAATGCCAATTGACCCAGCTAGGGCTCGAACCAGCGACTTTCTTGCTGTGAGGCAAACGTGCTGTCCACTGCACCAACGTGATTCCTATAATCAGTATTGAGATTATTGAAAATGCAGTAAATGGTTAAACCTTTCTTTATCTTCCATAGAGCTCTTGTTATAAAACTGTTGTGATATTGCGTTATTATATATTTATTTATTTTGCAGTTTTGCTAAATCTCTAAACTGTGGTTTGGTCTGACAGTCTCAAGCATAGTTTAATAAATAAACCACAGCTCTTATTAATTAAAACAAAGATAAATTATTAACGAATGCATCAGGTCTAAATATTCTATGACTTTGTGGAGAATCTAGATGATGACTTTACTTGAACTGATGGACTTTGGACACTGGAAGTATATCGATTAGACAAGTATGTTATTGCTGTATTATTTCATATTAGTATTGTTTTTTTTATGTCAGTGTGTTAAGTTATTTTAAATCTATATTTTTCTTTTTGTTTTTTTTTTGCTAAACTAAACATTTTTATTGTTGTCAATTTATATGACGATGTTGATGAAATCTGTTGTTTAAAAAAATGCATCAGGTCTAATTTTGACAATGAAAATCATTTTTTTCATGCATATATTTCTATAAACAGGAACTTGATCTATTTTGTCAGATAAAGCCATGTCCTCTGGTATGACCTACTAATTTAATTCTGGCAATTCCAAAGAAAACTTCAATTAGTTGGAGGTCCCCTTAAAGATCATGTCTTTGAAGCCCCCTGAGAAGCCCACGGTGTCCACCTTTTTAGGGCTGCAGAATATGGCATTGTGTTACCAAACCACAGGAGAGGAAAAATCCACAGGATAGCGCTCCTTCTCTTACTTCAGCCTCAGAAAGCAAAGTAGGTCAAGGTGCTCCAGGATTGGCCACCCAGTCACCAGATTAAAACATTATTGAGCATGTCTGGGGTAAGATGAATGAGCAGATGAAGATTAAAAATGAATCCAAAGAATCTTGATGAACTCTGGGAGTCTTGCAAGAACGCTTTCTTTGCCGTTCCAGATTATTTTATTAATAGGTTATATGAGTTATTGCAGAGATGTATGGATGCAGTCCTCCAAGCTCATGGGAGTCATACACAATTGTAATTATTTTTTCATTGCACCATTACTTTATATACTATTCTGTACATTATTTCTGTTAAGTGTCCAGACTTTTGTCTAAGCAAAATCTTTACTGTCCTAATTAAATAATTAAAAATCAAGGCATGATCATATTTTATTTTGGTAAAATAAGCGTAATCTAGAGGCCTTTGCCTTTCCTATAAGCCACTTCTGATACCAAATGATCAACTAGAAGTCAAGATATTATTTTTTGTTCCTAAAACTTGGATAGGCGACAAGACTTTTGTCAGGTAGTGTATTAAAAATCATTATATAAAGAGTTCAGATGCAAAACCCTCTAAATCAATCAGACCTCTTTTCTTATAAATGAGCATTTTCTATCAGAAGTTTCATTTTATATGTAATGATAAGGTTATTAGATAGTAAATAAAATAACTTTTTTCATCAATGTCACTTTAGACAATTCTTTGGTTTTTAACAAAGTAAATTTTCTTTTGCGTCAATACCAGCTAAGACCAGGTCTGTTTTTTTTTTTGTAATTAGTTGAAAATCACTAAAGATGCAAATACTAATTATTTTACCAAACATAAAACACATTACACAAACCACCTAAAATACATAAATCTGTCAAGTAAGTGGCGGTTCATTCCGCTGTGATAAACCAGGAAAAAAGCATAAGGACAATGAAGGAATGAAATCTGTCAAGTACGTGCATTAATCAATAACATTAAAACTGACATTGATTAAATCTTAACAATCTGTTGGCATTTTTGATATTTGGGATTCAGATTTAATGTAAGTTTAATGGTAGCTTCAAATAATGTAGTGTAAAACATTATGAAACATCAATATCTGTGCATTGTTCATTAATATAAAAAGCTTAATCAGATGTATAGGTAATATGATGTAGGCTAATATAAATGTATAGTTTTTATAATATTTATCTTTTTTAAAAATAGCTTAAATTAGCAAATACACCAGGTAGGCCTACTGGGCAAAAAGAGGATGCCTCTCAGACAATTTTAGAAGCTGTTATTCATTCATTCTTACCATACTTACGGTCTTGGCCCCTTGTTTATCCTCATAGCATCTATGTGGGATAATAAAAGGCATTTTAACTCTGTCTTTCGTGAAACACAGTTGCCGTTTAACGTATAGTCATTCAAATCAGACTCATTCAAAGTAGCGTCACTGCGCAAAAGCATGTTATGAACGCATGCTACACTTCCGAATGTACATTGTGTTTTCTTTTTTTCTTATAATGCACATAGTTTTGAGGTAAGGGACGTTTTCATTTGCCATTCACTGACAGTCGGACAGACTCATCCAGTTCATCAAACTACGTCTTTTAAAACCAAAATCGAAAGCGTCCCCCTCATAAAAGCTGGTGTATCAGCGCGCTGCTACATTGAAAACATATGATCTGATTCGCGTCTTTTGATTGGTTCTCGGGATATATCGGCTTTTGTTGCCAAAGGCAAGTGGCGTTTAGCTGCTTTTGCCAACAAACTGTTATTTCTGAATGCGTTGACGCTAAGATTAAGATGATTTGAAGCAAATCTATTTGTTGGACATGTACTACGTGCCTAAAGCATTCACTCAATGTCATTATCGCATTTTTGGCGGACGTGGCGTTTAGCGGCTTTTGCATCTGAACTCTTCATATTTAAATAATATTTTCTCAAGACTCCAAACTACATAAATATATCCATTTTTTTTTCTTCAACAATGATGTGTTACAATAGGAAAATGCACTGCCTATTTGTCAGCAACCCACTTCTAGTTTCATTGACATGATTTATGTTCAGCATCTCAACCAATGACATGCTCTGTCAGTTTTACATACAACTATTGTTGCTGTAAAATGGAGAAGCAAACCAGGCATGCAGTGCTGAAATGACACTTTTGCAGCAACAAATGCTTAAAGACAAAAACCTTCTGCTCACCTTTCCTGGGCTGAATCTGCTCAGCACCTGCAGAAGGTTGTGCAAGTTCACGATAGTCTCTTCTTGCAAGAACATAATCCACAAAGATGTTTGACAGTACTGCAAGGCAAGGCTGAAGACAAAAAACAAGCATACAGCTGCAGAAAATGTGATTAAGGCAAACTTGTGAATAAATATTCATAATAAGTGAAGAGTATTTTCTGTGTTTTGAGTGTTTTTTTTTTTTTTACCGTGGCAGTGCCGGAAGAATGCTCCAGTTTCCATCATAGTGTGACAGCTTGTGAAGGAGCACAACATCTGGTGAACTCTGCAATACCGCACAAAAAACATTTCAAACAAACACCACCCATTTAATGGAGTTCTGCACAACGTTATTCACTTCGACAGATGACACAAACTAAAGAAGGCAGCTCCCCAGTACTCGAAGACAGAATGAACACTGAAAGCTGCCAGTTACTGAAGCATTTCTGTGTTTTGCTATGCATCAGGGCTAATCCTATTTTAAGACATTGCATAAGCAGAAATTTGGCTAATTAAAGCCGCAATGTCCACATGATTGATGCAGTCTAATTTAAAATATATTTACATATTTAATATATGTTAATAAGTCTTGAGATATTAAATATTGAAAGTTTAATACTAAATATTTAGAACATTTCTGCATCAAAAGACATTAATTATAGGTTCAAGATCTGTACTTTCTCCCTGTGTTGGCGTGGGTTTTCTCCGGGTGCTCCGGTTTCCCCCACAGTCCAAAGACATGCGATATAGGGGAATTGAATAAGCTAAATTGGCCGTTGTGTATGTGTGGGTGTGAATGCAAAAGTGCGTGGGTGTTTCCTGGTTGCAGACTGCGTAAAAGATACGCTGGATTAATTGGCGGTTCATTCCACTGTGCCAACCCCTGATTAATAAAGAGACTAACCTGAAAATAAAATAAATGAATGAATGAGTTGTACTTTATTAATGAATATTGCATGAAAACAGGATCGTTCTGTGCTGCTGGGATTATGACTAGGGGCTCTTCAAAACTTCAGAGCTGACCTTTACTGAAAAAGGTCAAGAAATGCAAAAAATGAAATGAAAACAGGTAGAAGTTATCGAGTGCTGAGGGGTATTTATATGCACAAAATGTGCTTAGAAGGCTGAAACAGTGGCTTATTTAGATGGAGAACACGATAGCAGAAAATCTGAGGTCATTCAGAATATGATGGAAAATTGAGCAGATGAAAGATCAAGACGACAGCGTTCATGTAAAAGTGGATAAGGAATTATTATAGACTGATTGACAGACGAAAATGAAAACAAGCCACATGACTCACAGTTCTATTTTGAAATCAGCTTTGTTCTACTAAAGGCGCAAGTTTTTCAGACTACTTTGCATAATCTAGGCGATAGGTTGTTAACATCCTTAATAACTAAATCGGTAAATCCACATTATAATAGCACAGGCAGGATTTAAAGGAGGTAATGATTCCTTTACAAATACCATTTCTCATCACATATGCATGAAAGGTTAATCATGAAGTGTGTGTGTGTGTGTGTTTTCTTTCCTAACATCACCACAGGAATTGCAAAACGAATGTCTCTCATTTGCTGATAAAGTGAGGAAAAACTCATGTAAAATTACTTACATTTTTTGCACATTGTACAGTATAGGGTATTGACAGATTATTGAATGAGAAATCAAGCATGTTGATATAACTTATATGCAGTGGTGTAAAGTAACAAATTGCAAATATTTAAATTACTGTAATTAAGTAGTTTTTCTCAGAAATTGTAATTCACTATGTAGTTTTAAAAATGTATACTTTTACTTTCCCTTGAGTGCATTTTTAGTGCAGTATCTGTACTTTTACTCCACTCTTACCTTTAATCTGCAGTCACCACTTTTTTTTTTTTTTTTTTTGTCTATGGGGATTCAAAAAATCAGTCCTGTGATTTCTGTCCAATCAAACCACCATAGAAGGTAAATTGCATCATAATGAACAACCTGAAGACATGGACGATTTATAATAGCAGCAAACTGTTTGGAAGCATCAAAAGTGTCCAAGAAGATGTCCAAATTCTTTACACACATTGACCCGGAGACTGTTTAGATGCATCTCACTGATGAGAAGATGATGGATGTTTACTGTATGATGACCGAAATGCCCTTAAACACCCAGCAGGCACAAGAAGTCAACATGACATCAGATTAACGTTGTACCCCAATGTTGCAGTTTGTTTGGAAATGAAAATCGAGTTGATATCAGAACCCAATGCCAGGTCTTTGTAAATATCCAACGTCCAACCTAAAATCAACCAAAAATCAACGTCTAATGATGTTACAGCTTGAGATTGTGTGGATGTTACCACTATGACATCTATTAGATGTTGGATTTTGATTGCCATATCCTGACAAGTAAATGTCAGTATTTGACATCAAGTTTATTATGTTGGGTCGATGTTGGGTTTTGGTCACTTTCTAACGCAACCTAAAATCAACCAAATAGCAGCGTCATTTGATGTCATTATTGGACATCAAAATAACGTTCTTAGACACTGGCTTGATTCGAATTTTGGTCAACTGACATCAAAAGCTAAATCTAACCTAATATTAACATCTTATGAAGTTGTGTGCCTGCTGGCCAATAACTAAATGCACTACAGAATGTTACGTTTACACACATCCACAAGTTACATGTAAATGCATTAAATTTTTATAGTGTAATACTCACTACTCATGAGTACTTTTTACTCATACTTTGAGTAATATTAATAACAGATACTTTTACTCTACTTGCACTACATTTTTAGGCAAGTAATGGTACTTTCACTGAAGTATGATTTTTTTAGTACTTTTTTCACCACTGCTTATCAGCATCCACAGAAAGAGTTTCAAATAGACCAAATTTGGTAACACTTTAAAATAACTACACTATGAATCATCTATTATGCATTAGCATATTGTGAAAACACAGTTACAATGTGCTTAATAATTGTACTTTCATACTTTGTTACTGATTAATTTTTCATGACTAAATTAAGTATCGCATTATTTACAAATCACTTTGATAGTTGTTTTTTTTAAAGATCATTGAGAATGAGTGAGTAAATGATTAATAAACTATTCAATTCAACATTTATATTATTATTAAGACATATATTAATAGCTAATATGCATGTTTATAAATGCTTTATTAAATCAGCTTCATTCTGTTTTGTGACCTAATCTAAAGTGAGGATTATTCATGCTTTATAAATCCCTTATAAATGATTATTAAAAGCTCTATCAAATGAATAATACATCGTGGCAATCTTATCTAAAAAGTAAAATGACTGTGAAGTTTAAACATTGCTAAATAACAGGAGTGTCAAAAAATATAACATTAAATTGAACAAAACAACAATATAATAATTTAGGAATATATTATGATAAACATTTTATTCAATGATGTTTAAAGTGTACAGTAATGTTCTTTAATATACGACTGCAAAGATTTATTTTTCAATTGATACACATTTCCTTTGTGTGTCTTCAAATGAACAGAAATGACTAAAAAAATTATTTTTTAAAGCTTATTTTTTATAGAATATAACCGAGCCTTTAATTGTCATTTAAAAGGGATTTCTAAAGCATAAATAGTCCTCACTTTAGATTAGGTCCCAAAACTGGATGAAGTTAATAAACCATTTATTACAATGTACAAATGAATTATTAATATATGCCTGAATAATTATTAATAATTTACTCATACATTCTGAATAATTTTAAAACCAGCAACGGCTCTTAATTAACTGGTTTGTAAATGATGGAATAATTTAATTTAGTCATGAAAAAATAATTAAAATGTGAAAGTACAATTACTGCGCACATTAGCATATGTGCTAATAAGTCAACAATACAGCATTTGTATCTGCAGTTATAAACTGCTGACTAACATTTATTAATGTAGAGTTACTGCTTAAAAGATAAGGAATTAACTATTTGCTAATGCTTAATAAATGATTCATAGTGTGTTATTACAAAGTGTTACCAACTATTAAAACACTGTTTTCAGAAATATATTTTGCATAAAATGAAATGCCAATAGACTTTCACAACTTTTATATACAGATGACTTACTAATAATTTTCTCTGCATATTATACAACAACAAATAGGTATTTAATATGAAATGTGGATAGTTCACCGCAAAAAAAATTGTATTCTATCATAATTTGCACAGCCTCCACTTATCCCAAACATAAAACAGTTTCTTTCATTCTGTGGAACACAAGGTAATATTTTGAAGAATACTGGGGGAAAACTGACATTGATTTCAATAGTATTTTTTCCAACTATGATTGTCAGTGACTGCATTGTTCCAACATTCTTCAGAATATCTTGTTTTGTGTTCAACAGAAAAAAGAAATTCCTAAAAGTTCAGAACCACTCGAGTGTGAGTGAATGGAGAGGAAATTTAAAAACACACAGAATACTCAGAAATGCAAGAATCTCCCTACTAAAGATTGGGGTTAATGACCGATATCCAAATGTAACAGTAACATGGTGGGCTGATTTTTAAAAACTTCCAGACAGCTGCACTTTTCAAGAAGTGACAAAAGCAGTGAGACTGGCCAACCTGAGTGCCAGTTATACTGCCAACAGTGAGACGCTGGATGATGATTAGGACAGAATCTGGAAAGGATGAAAACAGCGAGGTGGAAGAAAATTCATCCTTTCGAATCCATGCAATGAAAACTCCCCAGAAGAGCCAGTTCATGGCCAGTCATCGGCCCTCTTCGTTCCAACAAATGGTGGTTAATAAGCAAGGCCGATGTGTTGGTGCTCTGGAAACCTTCCCTTCGTGCCAAAGTCCTGTCCATCACCAGGAGGTCAAGATGCCGACTGAAGCGTTCACACCTTCAGCTCAACAACCCCAATCTTCCCATCTTTCCCAACACCCCTACTGTGAAAATGGTCTTCTAATGAGCCTGACTACTAAAAATATGCCTCTCATCTCTTAAAAATCAGCCAAAACTCATAGGGAAGTGTGTGCACTGATAAAACAGGTGTGCTAAGGAAAAGAGCTTGTCTGGAGCCTTATTACCTGGTTTGACTTACTGAAGAAAACTTCTGCTTCTGGCTACTTTAAAAAAAAAGAGACGGCAGAGCTGAGAACGATAATTAAAAAAAATCTGAATATAAAATATAAATCAGCAAGAGAATGAAGACAGTAAAGGCAAGAGCCTTAGAAGCAGATGGTGTGATGGGGAAAAAATGTCAGGCCCGGTAAAACCTCACCTGAGAAAATAAAAGGTTTCATCAAAAATCCTCACCTAA